CTGAGCACTTGTTTTTCTCTTTATATGGCAGTTGTCTAAGCAAGCAATTTAGGTACCTGTATTAAACTGAAAAAGTGGCAATACAAAGTAAATATAAGTGATTTTTTTCTTTTTTTTTTTCTTTTTTTTTTTTCCCCACTACGTCATTTAGAATATACGAAGGTGAAGCCTCATTGTTTGGAAGGTTGTGGTCACTTTGCACCAAGATTAATTGGCAGTAGTGATTATTACCTGTTTTTATAAAAGAAATTCTCAATCACTAAACATTTGTGAGGCTATTAAAATACACATTGATCTCCTGTTCCACAAAGGAATTCAGGCATACTTCTCTTGAAGGACTGCCCTTTTCAGAATTTGTCTTCTTTCTCTACCATTTTTAGAATTTGGCTATCCTTTAAAAGAGCATGAAGAGAACATCATTTAGGTTTTAGAATGTCTAATTGCTCACTTCAGTTTGTCAAATATTTTTATCTGGCAAAAACTTTTTGTGGATTGCTTTTGTCCAGGTTTGTGCTGAAAACATTGCTGATGACACAGGGATGTTTTTGGTGCTGCTGAGCAGGGCTTATACAGAGACAAGGCCTTTTCTGCTCCCAACACCACCCCAGCAGTGGGCAGCCTGGGAGTGCAGAAGGAGTTGGGAGGGTACACAACCAGGACAGCTGACCCCAACTAACCCAAGGGGTATCCCAAACCATATAACATCATGCTTAGCATGTAAAGCTGGGGAAGAAGGAGGAAGGGGGGATGTTTGGAGTCTGGGTTTTCCCAAGTAACTATTATACATGATAGAGCTTTGCTTTCATGGAGACGGCTTAACACTTGCCCCCTGATGGGAAATAGTGAATAAATTTGTTGTTTTGCTTTGCCTATGTGGATGTCTTTTGCTTTACTTATCATAGAATCATAGAATAGTTAGGGTTGGAAAGGACCTTAAGATCATCAAGTTCCAAACCCCCTGCCATGGGCAGGGACACCTCACATTAAACCATATCACCCAAGCCTCTGTCCAACCTGGTCTTTAACATTGCCAGGGATGGAGCATTCACAGCCTCCCTGGGCAACCTATTCCAATGCCTCACCACCCTAACAGGAAAGAATTTCCTCCTTATATCCAATCTAAACTTCCCCTGTTTAAGTTTTAACCTGTTACCCCTTGTCTTATCAAAATGTCTTTATCTCAACCCACAAGTTTTCTCACTTCCACTGTTTGTGTTCTCTCCCTCATCCTTCCAGGGGGGAGTGATTGAATTGCTGTGCGGTGCTTAGTTGCCAGCTGGGGTTAAACTATGACAACTTTGAAACTGTAAATAGTATCTAGGTAGTAGGGGTATATTCATCATATAATTTGCCAACTAAATGTGGAGGGATTTTTCTGAGTAACACTCATTTTGATAATGTTCTAATATTTACTATTCAAGCACTTGCAAACTATGTGCTGGTGGAAAAGAACCAAAACACAGCAACAGTAACCTTTGTTCAACAAGACAGAGTACAAGCACAAATCAAGGCAAGAAACAAACGTAAAAACCTAAATGAACAAAAAAAGCATTTTAAACTGGAGATAATCCTTTCTCCTCCTTACAGCTAAATAACTAGAATTCATACCCATGTGGGGAGACAAAATGAAGAGAAAGAAGAATATTTGTACACTAAGGATCACATGCAACAGTTCTCCTGTGTGTCTTGAATTACATATGTATCATTGAACATGGGAAAACGGTTGCAGCCATTTAATAGTAATATATGTAAAGTAAGAACGCATCACGTATATTTAGGGGAAGATGAAACCTGAGTATTGTAAGCAATAACCTCAAATATTCAAAATGTTTTCATAAGCTGTTAAGTAAAACTTTTGGGATGTGTTCATTTTCTAAAAGTATTTTTTCTCTCATAATCCTTCTGTCTTTTTGTGATCTATGTATTTTTTTCTGATTGCAGGTTTTGTACTACAAATCTGCTGAATTGGCACTGCTAGTTCCCGTAACAGTAATGTATCATATAGCTTCTAAACTTTTGGCAAAGGCCTCTGAATAATAATTTTTGGGTACAAGTGTATGCACTTTATAAAGTATATTTAGTGGAGAGATGTTGCATTCTGTAACAGTGTCAATACTTACCATAAGGGGTTTTAATTGTGAATGTCATTATCTTCACTATGAGGAAGGCACTTTGCACTAAAAGAAAAAAAAAAAAGTCCAGATAAAGTTTCTCATTTTGAATTCTCTCCCTTGGAAAACTGCAGGTGCATGTTCATAATTTGACAGTGCTGCATTATGGATTAGGTAGTGAAGACTATTGTACAGTGAGCTCTGCAGTTATCTCACCAACCTCCTTGAAGTCCAAGCATATAATCTCTGTGATACCAGCACTGCTGCCAAACTCATGTTTAAGGGTACAGCTAACCAAGTTTTTGAAAGAATTGTGTTTAAAAATACAGAAAGTCATGAACATTGAATTTGCAAAAAGTAATTTTATAAACAGCATGTGCTTTGTAATTCTTGAGGCTAAAAAGAAAATAATTGAGCAGCACTGAGTCATTTTATTTGTACTGTATAAACAAATACTTGTTTTAGATAACAATGAATTTATAGTGTATTCATACACACTGATGGCTTATATGTGAAGAATTATCTTGATACAATTTAAAATACCTGAAAGATTAAGCCTCTGAAATATTTTAAATAGAAAAAGAATGACTATAACTAAGGTAATTTGTGCAATAAATTCTTTAAATTCATAAATTAATTGCATACTTTGGGGGAAGAGTGTTGCTTAGTCGAGAAGACAAAATTCTAGAAAGGGATTTACATCTAAATATAAACTCAGGGTCTACTTAAATGTAGATTTTGCATTTCCAAAGATGACTATAACATACACATAGAGTAGGAATGTACTGTTTTGCTGGCACAGATTTAGTAAGTAGGTGAAGGAGCCTGTATCCTTGCAACAATCCTTTGTTACCACAACCTGGTCAAGTGATACAATAACAGTAATATGATAGAAACAGTCCTTCCGCTTAAGTTCCTGACAGCAGGAGCTGAATCAGGTAATGAAAAGGCAAGTACCTAATTCTGCCTAATCTAAGGCAACCGTATCCCAGGTTGTCAACTGTATACCATGTTGACAACCGTATCCCAGGCTGCATACAAAGGAGTGTGTCAACCAGCAGGACAAAGGAGGTGATCCTGCCCCTCCACTCTGCTCTCGGGAGACCTCACTTGGAGTATCATGTGCAGTTCTGGTGTCCTCAGCATAAAAAGGACATGAAACTGTTGGAACAAGTCCAGAGGAGGGCCACAAGGATGATCGGGACTGGAGCACCTCCCGTATGAAGATAGGCTGAGAAAGTTGGGGCTGCTCAGCCTGGAGAAGAGAAGGCTGTGTGGAAGCCTCTTAGCAGCCTTCCAGTATCTGGAGGGTGTCTATAAGGATGCTGGGGAGGGACTCTTCATTAGGGACTGCAGTGATAGGACAAGGGGTAACGAGTAAAAACTTAAACAGGGGAAGTTTAGATTGGATATAAGGAAGAAGTTCTTTCCTGTTGGGGTGGTGAGGCACTAGAGTGAGTTGCCCAAGGAAGCTGTGAATGCTCCATCCCTGATGGTGCTCAAGGCCAGGTGGGACAAAGCCTTGGGTGACATGGTTTAGAGCGAGGTGTTCCTGCCTATGGCAGGGGGGTTGGAACTTGTTGACCTTAAGGTCCTTTCTAACCCTAACTCTTCTATGATTCTGTGATTGTGTGATTCTGTGATTCTAGTCTGTGCAGTTAACTTTTCAAAGATAGAGAGTTTCTGTCTTCAAGATAAAAGCATAATTTGCTGAAAAGCAAACTTCAGATGGAAGCAGCTGAAGCCACAAATTTAGAAATTGAAGAAGATTGTAAAATAGCTGTAGGGAGGAGCTTGTCTGTCAAGCATGGATGTGAAGATGAGTTTAGAATACAAGGAGAAAGGAATAAGAAAATTGAGCTTTACATAGACCCTGTAATGACTGCAGTATATTATGTCCCCACTCAAGTACATTTCTGCTCTCACTTTCTATCTACTTTGTATCCCTTCTTTGTCCAACTTTTCCACACCCTTTCACCCTAAGTACCGGTTTTCCTTAGATGTACCTTTTACTTCTAAATCCCCCATGAAACTCTGTGTTTACATATCTGCCTTTGATCTGTTTTGTGACTGCCAGTTCTTTTTCTAGCTTTGCCTTCTACCTCTTGTTCTATTACTATTTACTTTGCACCCCAGATGACCTGCTTTTCATCACATTATTTCTATACCAAATTATTCGGTTGCCCTTAGTGCTCACCTTTATATTCACACTGACAACTCCCCTTGTATTTTTTCATGAAAACGAGACAAAACAGTCATTGAAAACTTCATCAAAAGCAGAGATCAAAATCATTTGATGTAGTAGAATTGGATTTTTATAGGTTTTATTTATTGACATATTATTTTGTTGGTTTCATTGTAAGCTTTTTCTGTTGTTTTTTTTTTTATGAGAAAGTACAGAAATCCTCATTTTTTATTTTCTTCCTCAGCTTTGTCTTATTCTTCTGACTTCTGCTCATTTATCTTTAGGTTTTATGCTAATATTGATGTTAGTAACTTATTGTTATCAATTCATTTTGCATGTTTTCTTGGCTTATCATCAAAATTCTTTTTAAGTTTATAGTTAATCAGTAATGGATCGGGATCTATTTTGTAAACAGGTACAGATACAAATATTGAAACCAAAATATAAACTGAGTCCTATTTCATCTTATGTTAATTAAACTGGTTTGTACTTTGGGATTCACACCTATATTAGCAGCAAAATACAGCAAATGACAATGTATTAAAGAACAGTAGAGGCTGAACTAGGATACATGTCTCATATACTTTAGCTGTTTTCTTTTTCTCTGATATTTATTTCAATCTTCTCCTCTATACATTCAAGAATGTGTAGATTTTGGAAAGCACACCTGGATTTACAGCTCATCTTTTGATTCTATGTTCCTTAGAAATGGTTTATTTGAATTACATTGCTGGCATTGTGTCCATAAGCGGTTCAGGTGTTATTATCCCCAGTGACATGCTTACTACATTCCCATACACAGAATGACTTTCAGCCTAAGAAACATTTGTAAGGCTATTCCTACCAAAACCAAAATGACAATTGTTTTATACTGGTCCAGTTTTTCATCTTTATTTTGTTCTTCAAGTCACCTGAGAAATATTTCTATGTTAACAGAAGATACCATTTCAGTTTACATCTTAAACTATACTTTGTCCCCAGATGATGTTACAAAATGAATTGCATTCAGGCAGAAGCTTCTCAAGCACAACTGCTCCATTTAATAGTAGCATATAAGCATTCAGCTCCCAATCCCTGGAGCTCTCCCTTTGTGAGCAGTTATAGTGTCAGACCTAAACTGGCAAGGTGGTTTAGAGAATCCAGTTTTTCTGAGTCAGTCAACTTATATCGTGAAATATACAACCCTTTTTTTTTTTTTTCTCTCTGTTTTAAACTAGGCAACCAAGAAACGGAAAGAAATCAGAAGTCTTTTGTCAGCTTCTGAGGTAGGAATGAAGAATTAAATTCAGGGTTTCTCTGAGACTTTCAAAGGCAGCAGGAATACCTGTCTTCATCTGTTTTTCTTCAAGAAGTTTTTTCTAACAAGCTTAATAACAGTTAATCTTTCAAATTTTATAGAGTGTACTAGGAAAGGAATAGAAAATTCTGCGTTGATGAGAACTGTGAAATTCTACTATTACAAAAGTCTTCATGTGATGTCTGAGAACTGTGCACTAAATTTTCAAAAAACAGACTATACATTTCTTATTTTATCTGAGTGATTTCCAGGTATTCATGGATACTGTTACACAAGAGATCTAAGCAAATTTTTCAGGAATTTATTGAGAAGGAAGAAAGGCATAAAAGCATTAATTACATGCTCAAGAAGGTGAAGCCCTCTGACATTCCACTTCTCTGTGTTAAGATGGTCAGTTTCCTCCTGGAGTTGTCTGTATTTGCAATGAGGTGTAACTACGTGATTTTGTAAAGTTCATTTTGTTCAGTTTTCTGTAAACTCCTCATTCTCATTCTGTGTCCCAAGAAGACTCAAGGAAGAGGTTAATTATGTTAACTGCAGAACTACACCAGTCAGAGATTACAGTTCTACTCAAAGTTTGTGTTGAGATAGTAGAAAATAGCTGGTGAGGAGGTGAAGACAGATTAAAAGAAAACGTTCACTGGATCAAGAAAACAGCCTCTCTGAAAAACTGGAAGCTGATGACAGTCATTAATTTAAAAAATACCAATATTTCTTGACATTAGTTATTTTACTTACTATTGTCTGGTCTTGTACAATATCTCTCTTATGAAAATGCATTGAGAAAGGATACTTCATAACTTTTCAATCTTTCAATTTAGTTGTGTCATGCATGCGTGGGAATTGCACAGATGGCTGATGGTCTTTGGGTTTTCCACATTTAGAGTTGTTAGAAAACCAGAAAAAATTAGTGTCATCCATGGGTGATTATGTTCTGGTGAATTATATTATTAGGTTCTGATGGGAAAAAAAAAAAAAATAAAGCTAAGCCAAATTACTTCAGATATTTTTTTTTTATTTTTGGAATCCCAGAATATACCTAGGAACAAACAGACAATGTATTTAATGAATTTCTCTTTAGAACTTAGTTTTGCTACCTGTTTTATTCACTGTCATGTGCAAGAAGGTCATGTGCCTTCAGTAAACGGGCATACCCCAAGCTATGCTATTTCTTTGTTGATTGTATATGATATCTGTTCAGTGCTTGATTTTTTTTCCAACTTCTAGAGACCACCATAAAATATAGGCATCTTAGGCTCATTTTAGGCTAGTGCAATGTGTATAAAGAAAGCAACTTTGAAACCTAGCCAATAGAATATTTTTATCCTCAGCTAAGACCCCAGTCTTTTCATTTGCAGGGTGACAGAGGGTCTGCTCTGCTCTTAGGACAAGAAAATTCAGGAGCAGCAAAAATTCTTTTTCATGTGCAGTTATTTTTTTTCTGTTGTAGCTTTAGCTGTTGAATTTAAATTTCCATCCCATCACTAAAGATTACTAAACTGCTTTAATTTTTGCATTACTCATTGATAGCATGTTTGGGATGTCATGACTCTGCAGGCATCTTTCTGTTTTGTGTAAGAAAGAAGACTACATTATATACCTTACTTTTATTAGTGGTGGAAGCCACTGATGATTCCTATATTTCTAAATCTTTGGAGTATTTAAAACTATACACCTCATAAGAGTCTATTTTGGTGACTGTATTTTGATTTCAGAGGAGAAGATAGTTACCAAACTATTTTGGATGCAAGAAAGCTAAAATTCTGTGTCTTACAGTTCATGGTCAAGATTTAAGAACTAACCAAAATTCTTTCTATTGAGATTAAAAAAATAATACAGCAAAAAAAAAATCTAAATACAATAAAAATGGAAAGAATAAAGAATACTGGAAAAACTCAATTGAAATAGTGAAAACTTTTATAGCTCTTGGTCTCCAAAATAGAGTGGAATTTTTTCATATATTCATTTGTTCTCAGCAGAGCTCATTATAATTTCAAGGTCTTTCATTTTAGTATTCTTTTTAAGCTTTTTAGTCTTCAAGAAGATCTTAACAATAATTACCCACAACCACTGACATATAAAGATGTCTCTTAATGCCTATCCAAATAAGTGGTCAATAAACAGATTAACAGAGTAACACTCTACACACTCACACCTCAGATGGCTAAGGTTCTTAAGAAGCATGAAGCATGTTGAATGTTCAAGTTGTATCTTTACAGATCATAGAGTTTGTTGAAGTGACTGGAGAGTCAATAATCATTAAAGCTTCTTTTCCTGCAGAAATGTTCAATTCTGCCATAATCAGTTGCTCAACTGACCTCTTGGGCAACAGCTACAATTAAAAAGTACAACTCCTGCACAAGATAGACGAGAGCATAGTCTTCTATGCTAACAATAATAAGAACAAGTTTCTTGCAGTCTGTTCACAGCTTTGTGTGCTGTTCCTTTTTTCCTTTTAGGTTCCCACAATTCTGAGTCATCAGCATAACTGGTGAGTCCATTCTAACTCAACTCTTTCAAGATCCACTCAAGGTCTCTTTTAATCTACCACTCTTCTATTGTTCAGGCTTCTGCTTTCTTGTCCAGCAATTCAGACATTTCTTGAGGAATATTGTAAATTATCTGCCTTTAGAGACCTTATGGTCCAGTGGGATTTAAAATTAAAGCTGTATATAAAAATGAACCTCAGTTTGAAATATTAAGTACCTGTTTATTTCTTCCTTTAGCTATGAAAGCTGCTTTCTTCTTGCCGTTACTGGTGCTGAGAAGGACAAATTCAACTCTAGGAAAGATGACCCTTTTTGCCTTTGTTTTTCAAATGTAGACAAATGTAGACAAAATGTCTGAAACAGTTAAATTAACAGTTGTCTTCTGTCTGTAACAGTTAAATTTAGCTTCCAGTTTTCCTTCCTGAACTTGAGCACTCTGAAAAACACATTTGCCTTTTGTACGTGCAGTCAAGAACACCATTGATATTCACAGCTCCAGAGACATCAGGAATTTTCCTATGCTGTTGGTTATCCATAATTAGCCATTTCTACTCAATGATTGTCTAAATAGATAGTGGCCTGAATTGAGCTTTGCTATGAAACTGCTGAAATGGATCTCCCTAATAAAATAAGGGCATAAGACCATAATCCACCAGAGCTCAGGCAATATTACTGGTGGTGTTGTGAAAATTTTTCTTCATTTTCTGTCCTACCATCACCAAATGCAATAATACTCTGGGTTGCTGAGGACCAGTATAGGTCTACATTTTCTGATTGTTTTACATGTTTCAAAACTATGCTGCTAGGTAGGTGATAAAGCATTTTCCTGGAGTTACCTAATGTGTGAATGTACATTCAGCTTATCAATAGAAGAAAAATTATATATTTGTGAAGGATAAGCTTTGAGATTTTGGGTCAAAAAGTACAAGTTTTCTGGCTGCTTTATTCTTTAAAAGCTCTTAAATATTTTTAGATGTACATTTTTTAGATGAACAGGAATAGAAATTCTGTTACTTTATATACTTATATACTGGGCATAAGGAATCATAGAATTTTAAGTGCAAGCTTTATATTATTGTGGTCATTTCAAGAACTCTCATTTCTTTGAATGTGACCAGATTAGGAAGGCTGAGGCCCAGTTAGAATTAAACTTGGCTATGGATGTCAAAGATAACAGGAAGGGATTCTATAGGTACATTGTGAATAAAACACAGACTAGAGACAACATAGGCCCTCCCCAGAAGATATCAGGAGAGCTGGTTACCCTGGATTTGGAGAAGGCTGAGGTTCTGAATGACTTCTTTGCCTCAGTTTTCATTGGCAAATGCTCTGACCACACCACCCAAGTCTTGGAAGGCAGACGCAGGGTCTGTGAGAATGAAAATCCTAGGCCCACTGCAGGAGAGGACCAGGTCTCTGACCATCTTAAAAACCTGAACACGCACAAGGCCATGGGACCTGATGAAATCCATCCGCGCGTCCTGAAGATGCTGGCAAATGAAGTTGTTAAGCCACTGTCCATCATATTTGAAAAATCATGGCAGTCAGGTGAAGTTCCTAATGACCAGAAAAAGGGAAATATAACCCCTGTTTTCAAGAAAGCAAAAACGTATGACCCAGGGAGCTACAGACCAGTCAGTCTCACCTCCATGCCTAGCAAAATCTTGGAGCAGATTCTCCTGGAAGGCATGCTAAGGCACATGAAAATCAACAAGGTGCTTGATGACAGCCAGCATGGCTTCACCAGGGGAGCTCCTGCCTGACCAATTTGGTGGTGTTCTATGATGGGGCTAGAGAACTGATGGACAGGGGCAGAGCAGTTGACATCATCTACCTGGACTTGTGCAAAGTGTTTGACACTGTCCCATACGACATCCTTGTCTCTAAATTGGAGAGACATCAATCTGATGGATGGACCACTCAGTGGATAAAGAACTGGCTGGAGGGCCGCACACAGAGTTGTAATCAATGTCTCAATGTCCAGCTGGGGACCAGTAACAGGTGGTGTCCCTCAGGGATCGGTGTTGGGACCGGTCTTATTCAACATCTTTGTCGCTGACATGAACAGTGGGATTGAGTGTGCCCTCAGCAAATTTGCCCACGACACCAAGCTGTGTGGTTCGGTTGATACGCTGGAGAGAAGGAATGCCATCCAGAGGGACCTTGACACGCTTGTGAGGTATGCTGATGCCAACATTTTGAAGTTCAACCAAGCCAAGTGCAAAGTCCTACACCTGGGTGGGGGCAACCCCAGACACAGTTACAAGTTGGGCAGAGAAGAGATTGAGAGCAGCCCTGTGGAGAAGGACTTGAGGATGTTGGCTGATGAGAAACTTGAACATGAGCCAGCAGTGTGCACTTGAAGCCCAGAAAACCAACTGTATCCTGGGCTGCATCAAAAGGAGTGTAACCAGCAGGTCGAAGGAGGTGATCCTGCCCCTCTACTCTGCTCTCAGGAGACCTCACTTGGAGTATTGTGTGCAGTTCTGATGTCCTCTACATAAAAAGGAAATGGAACTGTTGGAACAAGTCCAGAGGAGGGCCACGAGGATGATCAAGGGACTGGAGCACCTCCCATATGAAGAGAGGCTGAAAAGTTGGGGCTGTTTAGCCTTCCAGTATCTGAAGGGGGCCTGTAGTGATGCTGGGGAGGGACTGTTCATTAGGGACTGCAGTGATAGGACAAGGAGTAACAGTTTCAAACTTAAACAGGGGAAGTTTAGATTAGATATGAGGAAGAAGTTATTTACTCTTAGAGTGGTGAGGCACTGGAATAGGCTGCCCAAGGAAGCTGTGAATGCTCCATCCCTGATGGTGCTCAAGGCTGGATTGGACAGAGTCTTGGGTGGCATGGTTTAGTGTGAGGTGTCCCTGCCCATGGCATGGGGGTTGGAACTTGTTGATCTTAAGGTCCTTTCTAACCCTAACTCTTCTCTGATTCTATGATTCTAAAGACTGCTCTTTATTGCTGCTTGGGCTTAATATTTTTTTACTAAGTTATCTTCAGTAATTATATGTGATTTTAGATTTTGAGAATGATGTTATGAGGAAGGGTTGCAAATGTTGAGTTCTGCACATGCACTTATTGAACCTGAACAATCAGCATGGGCATCCTGATTGACTAATCTCGTTGTCTTTATGTTGGAATGATCGGTTATGTGGGCCAGAGAGAGCCTGTATTGTAATATAACACAACTTTAACAAGAATATGAACATCCTTTTCAACTGTGTTTTTATTTACAAGCTGAGATGAATGTGTTGGAGGAATGAGTTGTTAGATGGATTGAAAAACAAGCAGGCATTTGGACTCAGAGGATAGTAATTAATGGCTCTGCTTCCAGATGACAACCAGTCAATACTGCAGTCTTTCTTACTCAGTTATTTTCATCAATGATTGGGGTGATGAGATAGAATGGACCTTCAGCAAATTTGCACATGAGGCTAAATTGAGAAAGGAATGTTAAGTGACATGCTGGACAGAAAAATGTTGAGAAATTTAGGGGCTGGACCAACAGAAAACTAATAAACTTTGAAAGAAAAATACTAAGCTCTGCATTTCAGAAAGAATAACCAAGTGCATTACTAGAGCTTGGGAACTAATTGACTTAGTAGCAGCTCTAGTGAAAGGAGATGCTAGAGTGGATTGCAAGCTGATTCTGAACAGAATGCCACCATCACAAATAAGGCAAACTGGGCCGAAATGGAAGAAGTTTGGAGGAAGGAAGGAGGAATATCAAGGGAATTGATCCAATCCAATATCAAAGGAAGTTACTGTTCTTTTATACTTCGTACTGAGGGGACCATAACCAGAATATTTTGTTCATATCAGCCTTACAATTCAACAAAAGTTGCTAAAAAGCTGGAAAGTGTTCATAAGAGTAAAGAGTATAACATGGTTAGAGACCTGGAACATATGATTTTCAATAACAGATGCCTTAGCCTGGTGAAAGAAAGGCTAAAGAGACCTTTAATAGCAGTCAGTGGAATTTGAAGGTGAACTACAATGAGAATGGAGCTACCTCTTCTTAGTAGTGGCATTTGGTGTAATAAAAGGTAAGAGCCACAAGCTTCAGTTTCAGCATGGACATTAGAAAAAGTGCTTCACCAGGAAGGTCATGCAGAACCAGAACAGTTTATTCAGCTGAGTGATAGAGTCTCCATCCTTGGGTCTTTTTGAAACTTGTCTAGAGAGAGCCAATGCTGACCCAATCTAGTACTGGTTGTGGTCCTACTTTGAGATGTTCCATTATGTGACCTCAAGACATCCCTTGTAATCAACATTTCTGTGATTCTACACCTTGTACTACTGGACATGTGCATACTTCAGTTGTCCTTGTCGTCCAGATTGGATAAAAAAATGCAGTCAGGGGCTGTGGCCACTGTGTTTATTACACATGTAGACATGGTAGTATAGGAACTCAGGGGTTAATTAAATATTTCCTTTCTTTTTATAAACACTGGAAGATTTACATATGGAGACAAGAAAAGCTTCACTGTCATAATCCCTAACCAGCAGCAAGAAACATGTTTTGTTATCTCCATTCCCTGGGGTTCCTGATAATATTTGCATAAATTAAAAACTCTTAATAGTAGAACAGTGTAATTGATTACCTCTTGTATGTTTACAGCTCTCTTTAATTGCTTAAAAATGCCATTTGTCAGCTTCATGTTCTATTGACAATGTTATCGATTTATCCGATTTGGGCTTTGTCTTGTCTCTTGTACATAAAACTCACATATGCAGTTCAAATGGGAAATGACTCTATTGATTTCCTTAACTTGAGCCCAAATGCTAAAGATTTTTGGATAAGCTTTCTCATTATTTAAGCCAAAATCAATAAGAGAGAGTATCTTTTAATGAAAGAGCAGTTTGAGCAACGTACTTCAGAAATGGGGTCCTGTTCATCCTTTGCTTTACGAATCGATCTCCTCGGTTCCTTAAGTGAGGTCCAATTGGTTGACATTGTGGTTTGTCTTTGTGTGTAAACTTGCAGCTTCAGAAAAGAGAAGATGAGCTACAGGGACAGCAGAAGGAAGCACTTTCTCTGTGACAGAATAAGGATGATCTTCATATTGAGGTACCACACTGTATGTTTGAATTCTGTAAATTTCTAGCTTTTTATAGCCATTTTCTAGCTATATTGTTTATGGAGAAAATAATATGCTTTTCAGTCTTTTTGTCTATTTTTCCTTTGCATGTTGTTACTACATTATTTAAAAATATTACGTACTTAAATGATAAAAGTAGTGAATTTCGATCTATCACCTTGGTTTATGATTTTTCTACATAAAATATTGTCACAGACTACAATCCAATCATATTGCTTTGTTAACCTGTTAATTTTTTTTTTTGCTTCATTTCAGCTCTAGCCTCAAGAAATTAGATTTAGTGGCTCTAAGCTGACTTGTGCAAAATGGAATCTGAGATAAAAAAATGGAGAAGTGAACAGCTACAGAATGAACTGGGTATATCCAGTTACATGGGCAGGCCAAATATTCAGGTACTGTGCTAAGATATCATTAACTTCCCTTAACTACATAAATTAAGCTTATTATGCCTTCACTTAATTAACTGAGAATGACCTATTGACGTATAGGCAGAGCAAGATAAAGACTACATGCTGCATTGTACTAAATTTATAGGTTTTCAATTAGTTCTACTATTGACTGAAGCTACTTAAAAAAGGAATTTACTTTTATGTTTTGTAGCTCATTTTTAAATTAGTAAGTTATCTGAAAATGTTCTGTTTGTATACTCTTGAATTACTTGAAAAATAATCCAGTGAAAATTACGTATTCATTTAAATCTATAATTTTTGCCTCATGGCTCATTAACATTTATACAATATTTGTCTATGAAACTGTTGTTATGACTTACTACAAGTATTCATTGATAATTTTCAAAATTTTAGTAATCTACTAATTTTAGTCATAATAGTTTTATAAATTATCTAATAAAATTATTTGTTTAAAAAGATACTTTAAAGAAATGTAAGGAAAATCTCCAATAAATCTGATCACTGTATTATAAACTGAGATATTTTCTTTCAAAATGAAGTACGTCAGCTGTGATTTTAGTTAAGCTCCATTTGAAAGTCTTATATACATTACTTGATAGCAATTTGTTAAGTGTATTATTAAATCATCTTACTAATATGTTTACAGATTTTGTCCAATGAAAAAATGTGAATTTGTATAATGTAGGGATTTTTGTTATGCAGAACTAGAGTCAATTACTATTTAGTTACAAATTGACTTCCACTGTGGACATGCTTAGAATAAAATCACACCATTAGAAGCCAGCAATAGGAAAAACATACAGCTGTTATTTAGTAATACTATGGCAAATTTTAGAGAAAAGTAATAAGCTTAAAAAAATTCACATGTAAGAGTAGTTACATCAGGCTGATGAATCTTCTGTAATGCTTCTATTTCAAAAGGAATTTATTTAAAAAAGAAAACTTTCTACAGATAAGATTGTTTATTAATATAGAAATGAAAATAAAATATTATGCTTAACAAAAAAGACCCTGACTACTGGTGCTTGACATCCCTCAACAAAATTTTCTTTATTTCATTCTTAAGTATGAATTTTTGGGCATATTGTACTTGATCTGAGGTTTCAGTTGTCCAAGATACATTCCTATTACCAAAGTTAATGTAATATCTACATTTTTTCATAAGTGGTACACTAAATTGAAGGTTATGTACAGTCTTATCATCCACCAGTACTAGGTTGAAGTCTTATTTAATCATATAGTTCTCTTTAAGCTTCTAAAAGATTGTGCGTATATAGACTATAATCTATAACTGCATTTTTTAATTAATTTTCAGCTTTTGAAATGGTAATAATTCTTTGATTTGAGTTTTTCATCTTGATGCATGCCACGATATTCAGTTACATTATGCCATAGCATTTGTCTAAGGATTTATGGTTAAACCTGCCCTTTGTAATTCAGTGATCACCTTATTAAAATATTTTCTGGGCTTTTCTCAGTCCATGTTAAAGATGACTACATTGTCTACATATGCAGCACTTATTTTCCTTCAAATGTGGTCTATAAGCCTTTGGTATTATACTGGTCATACATGAAACACAAAACTCATTATGGTAAATTGATATAGGTCATTGACTTCACGACAGTTAGATTACAGTGGCAACCCTAACATCTGGTACTCAGCTGCTGTCCAGCTTTGCCTATCACTGACTGACCAAGCCAAGTCTCTGTATTGTCCCCCTTGTTGACATTAACACCTGCAGCTTTTTATTCTGATATATGATAATTTCCATAATTGTTTTCTAGACTTGTTTACGGCTTCATTTATTGTGTTACTTGTAAATGGCTTACAAGTTCTGCCACATACCTAACATCTGTTTTTCTCTCAGTGTTTTATCTGCATTCTCCATCAGTTAATTTATATTCACTCCTTGTATGTCAGATCTTCTCCTTTTAGCTCATCTCTCTTTTTTATCCACCCCCTGTTAACATTTGCTCAGGCCTTTGACTATTTTTCTCTTTTCTATTTCTCATTGCCATTTCTAATTATCTGGCTCGTTTTTTGAGCCTCATATCTAACACTTAAATCTGTTTCTGTAGGAGGTCTTACACTGTGGATTCTTAAAATACAGGATTGTCAGAAATGTCACTTTTCTGCTATGCTGTTTTTCCTCTCCCATTTCTCTTTCCATTGTTTTGAAGCAATTCAGTCACCTCACCCATCTTTTTGGTTTTCTCTGGCATCAAAAATTCTCACACAATCACAGACTTAAGTTAACCACACTGTTTACTTCCTTAACTTCTTTTCCCGGTTACCTGAGAAATCTCTTCAAATGCTCATGACTGTCATCTCTTTTCTCCTTTACTACCATAATCTCACTGAAAAAAAAGGTTCCAACTAAAGTAGTAAGACAATTTTCCCGTTCCATCACTTGGACTATGCCACTTCTCATTCTTCTCATTTTGTGTGTTATAAAATGATTTTTTTTCCCCTAACCTTCATGTTTTTTTCCTGATTTCTGACAAATCATTTTTTATGTCACTTTTTATGTTATGTAATCAAATTCTTCTTTTTTTTTTTTTTCCCAGTGACGAGAGTGAGATTTCAATTTATTTGTCTGCTCCCTTATTGGCTGTCTTTATACTTTCTTGCATTGCAATCCAGAAACATGCTGTGTTCTTATTGGATTCATCTTTTTTCTAAAACTTGTTCCTGTTAGCCAACCTTATGCTCATCTTTAAATAAATTGGCCAGTCAGAGATTGCTAAATTTTGCATCAGTGGAAGAAAGCTAATGAATGACCCTTTCCTCTGCTTGTCTCCCTGACAAGAATTCAGACCTTTGTATAGCGTGTGACTCTCGAGTTTTACAGCTTGCATATTCATGATGTCACATTTTAATTGCAGTGTTCAGTTCTCTCCTCTTCCTATTTATCACATTCACTCATAATTAGCTTCAAATTTGATTACAGATTAATTAGGTCAGGAATCATGTCTACTTTTCTGAATTTTTTTTTTTTTTTTTTATTTTGTATTGGTCCAGCATAAGAGGCTGCACCTTTATTTATAAATTTAACAACTGTAATAGGGTCTGCTGGTTGTAGAGATTCTCATTGCTACCTGTGCTCCCTCAAATAATTCTCGGGAATAGTTCAGGAGTTTGTATAGGCATAAGCTCATTTCCAGTATGCAGTCTACATGTCTAATATCCTGGATTCCAGCTGATCCATGTGACAAAGAATGACAGAGTAGTTCCTGACATGTTTAATTTACAGGCGTGGATGTAGTCTTTCTTGATCCTGATTTACTTTTGAGCACTGCCTTTGCAATTTAGTCTGAAAGAAGATGAAATGGAATTTATAACATTATTTCATAAACTGAGAATGTCTGACTGTAAGTCATCTTAAATGATTAACAGGTTCCTATCTGTATAATACATGTAGTGTATATTTTCCAGAGAATGATACATAATTATTTCTGCCTAGATATTTGCATGCCTGACAAACATGGAGGACTGCTGCTAAAATTTCTTTTCTAGCACAGTTTTGACATGTAAGCTAAGGTCCTCAGAATTCTGTAGCTGTCCTTGAAGGATATTTCAGCAGCACAGGCAGTTGTGTATGTAGGCATTAATACTGAATGACACACGTATCATTCCCTCATTCTGCCAAAACTCTTCGAACTCTATCATCCTGCACTCTAGGTTGTAGTTCTTGAACTGTAAATTTCTTGAAGAGGTGTACTAAAGAAACTCAGCTTTGTGGATTACAACATCTGTAGTCTGTTTCTGAAAGTTTCTGCCAGTTAGGCAAGAGATAAAATATGAAAAGGAAAAAAATTTCATTGGAAAGTGTAGCAAAGGAAACTATTTATGCCTTTTACATTAATACTCTCCAGTTGGCTACCCTTTTACCTTGCTCTCTCCCCACAGATGGATGTGTTTCAATGTACTAATATGTTCCTGTACAAATCAGAACAGTTTATTGACAGACCTATCAATTTTTGAAGCGAGTATTAATGTTTTATATGTTGCTGTATAAAAGGTGTACAGACAGCCACAAACCTCACATTTCTGCAAGTTTTCTGATTCCTTTTTTATAAGCTTTCAGAAGACTCAGATGCAAAATACTTCGTTTGTAAGTATCATGTACTGAGAAAATATCTTGCAGGGTTCTGCACAGTAAATACAAGAAAATAAATATACTGCAAAAAAGCTTGAGCATTGTGCATATATAGTACATGAATTTTGAGTCTTTCCCAGACAAAACTATTGCCTGAATTTTTACTTGTATTCTTCATTGATTTACTTGAGTTACACTTATCATACTTTTACAGATAAAATAATTGTACAAGCATCAGGTGGATAGAAGGTAATGTGGGTATCTTAACCAATGGTTGAACCAAAATATAGAACTGTAGAACCATTGAATAGTTAAGGTTGGTAAGGACCTTAAGATCATCTAGTTCCAACCCCCATGCCATGGGCAGGGATACCTTACACTAAACCATGTCACTCAAGAATCTGTCCAACCTGGCCTTGAACACTTATAAAGAAAACTTTCATTAGTCTTGCAAAATTAAAGAAATTGATGCTGGAATGTACTGGGTCTGGACAGAATGAAGTTAATTGTCTTTGTATTAGCCTATACAATGCTGGTTTGTATATTGGAGACCAGAACAGTGTTGATAAGACACCCGTGTTTTAGCTGCTACTGAACAGCGCTTCCAGTGTCGAGACACTCTTGTGTTTCCCAGTCTTGCTCCCTAGGAAGTATGCTGGGAGTAGGCAAGAAGTTGGGAGGGGACACAGCCAAGTTACAGCCTGTGACCTGAACTGACCACAGGGATATTCCATACTGCATAACATTATGCTTCAGCAATAAAAACAGAGGAGAGAGAGTTTGGGAAATTTAGCCATTGTTTGGAGACTAGTTGG